ACATGGAAATAGTTACTTCTCCAAGCGTAATTGTCCCCGAAGTTCTTAAAAAAGATAATTATGAAAGATGGAGCATTTTAATGCAACATTATTTAGAGCTTCAAGATCTTTGGGAGGTTATTCAATCATACAGGATGCCTCAAGGAAGAAACAGGGAGGAGTGGAGTAAAAAGAATGCTTTAGCTCTATATGCGATTAGGATTTCTTGTGGAACTGAAGCATTTGATCATATAAAGAAGACACCTCACGCCAAAACCGCTTGGGATACGTTGGCATTTAAGCTGAAACCCCCGCCAATTGTTGAAGTTGTCACTCATGATATTTTTGAGTTCCACCAAGAAAGGCAAACAGGTTCCTTTTTATTTTATTTTATTTTAATTCTCCTTAATATCCAATCTCACTGTTGGAGCTATTTTTTCCGCATTGGTCATTGATGAGGTTTAGCAATCGAGTCAACCGTATATATTCTATTTTAATTTTACAGAGAAATCTTATATAGTTTGTTATGCACTTAAAAATATTAATTTAGAATCTAAAAAGATAAAGATACCCTTAATCAGGAGTGTATGAAGATTTATTAACAGTGATTTTGTCTTTTTTCACATTTTGGACGGAAGATTTAAGTGCAGTTTGCCAAAAAAGAGAATCATTATAATAATTTTAAAGAAAAAGAATAATGCATATTCACCTTACTTCCTAAATACTAAGAGAAAAATTATTTCAAAACTAAGTTGTTTTAATAAACTTCCACTGAAAAGGACTAAAATATTCTATTTTAAAGTATGAGTTAGAGTATTTTTTATTTTTTTCTGTAGTACTTTATTGAAATGGCTTAGTTTAGAATAATTTTTCTTTTAATTTTTAAGAGATAAAACGAATAAGTACTAACCTCTTACAGAAAAACAATATTTTAATAACTAAATTAGACTAAACTGATTGGTTTGATCAACTTAATTGACCGAAAATTGGTAACCAGTAGCAGCTCTTTCTAATAGTTTATCTTAAGTTACCAAATCGGTTGTAGTCAATAATTGGTCAAAACTGGTAAAATACAAATCGGCTCAGCTTTTTTATTTTTTATATTTTTTTTATCTATTTGGAATTTTTATTTAATTTTTATATTAACTATTTTTTAGATAATATAATAATTAAATTATAAATCAAATTAAATTTTAAAGTCAAATTACTACGTATGGATGAAAATTTGAAATCAATTTAAATGTAACTTGAATCAATTTTGTAAATGAAATCAAATTGAAACTGAATTATTATTTAATGTTAAACAATGAAATTAATTTAAAATTAAATCACATCCAGTTTGAGAATAAAATTTTTGAAAATAAATGACTATTTTAGTGTATGAAATCAATAAAATCAATTTGAAATTAAAATTAATCTAATTTAATTTTGAAAATAAAACCAATAAAATAAAAAAATTAATTTTATAATTAATGCAAGGATTTTTTTAATCTTTGCCCTAAGAACACCTTTTTGTAATAAATTTGCATGAAAAAATGTAAAAGTAACATTAATTTTAGAGTTAATACTATGTGGATAAATTTAATTAGATAGTTGATATATTAAATATTGCTTTTTATTTTTTCAATACTCTTAATCTATGCCCTTAGAGCACAAGTTAAAAAAACCGTTAATACAAAATTACTGTTTTAGTCTTTTATATGGAAAATAAATTAAAAATATATTAGGTATTTTGATAAATTTAAGCATTTGAAATTAATCAATTTTGGGAATGTGATTAATTTTGAAAATAAAATTAATTTAAATCTAATTGCCACTTTAATATATTAATTATTACAAAAATGATCTCAATCTCTCATATAAAAAAAATGATCTCAATCAATTTTAAAATAAAACAAGTTAAAGCAAGATAATTTTATAATTGATAAATCAATTTAATATTATTTTATCTAGTCAACTATTTGGATCATTTGGTTTGATCGATCCAACTAGTTGAGCCCGAGCCAATAGCCAAAACGGTGTGGCCACTCATCCTTTTCTTAAAACATTGGGTAGCATTCTAGAGCTTAGTTTTTGATGTTTGTTGAAGTCGTGTGTGGCATGAAGATCTTGTATTGGGGGTCTAGGTTTTAATTGTAAGAAAGCTAAAAAAAGGTTTAATAATTTTTTTCCTTTTAATTGCATTTTGAAGAAATAGGTTCATATTATGACTTCAAATTTTTAATACAAACGATAATTTCTTATAACAATTATTGGCAGAGCAAGAAGAGACCTTGCAGAAGTTAGTTTACAGTGAGTCCATTTCCAGAGTAAAGCGGTTCTTACATGGCAATCAGGATAAAATATCTCCACAAATGTTACACTCTGCTCTTAGGCATGCAATTACTTGTGGCCAGAAGAAAATGGCACGCTACCTTTATAGGGAGATTTCACTTGATTTTCTACAGGGAGACTCTGGCTTCTCCCTCCTAGAGTGCTGTATAACCAAAGGAATGTTTGGTAAAGAGTTCTACAATTCTTCTTCTCCTTAATTGCTATATACTCCCTCTATCGTAGAATAATAATTTTTAATTTTATCTTTAAAATAAAGACTTTGGAATAATTTATATTTTTACTTACATTACATTTTTAAAAAAAATAAAAATAAAGATCGTGTCTTATGATATAAAGTCTAGACAATGATAAGATTAAAGTCAAATACTAAATTTAGTCCTTAAACTTTCATTTTTAACAATTTTAGTCCTTGAACTGTTTCTTGTGCTTTTCTCCTCCTTTAAATATGAAAAGTGTACTTTTTTTTTATTCTTTCGTCAATTTTATTAGTAAAGTATGACTGGCTAACATTTTCATAATTTTCTTTAGTGACCTAAAGGTGCATAAAAGAAAAGTTTAAGGGAAAAAATGTTAGCTATACAAATATAATGGACAAAGCTAATAGAAGGATTAAGAAAGAGCATTTTTTATATTTAAATAATAAAAAAATTGCAAAAAATTGTTTAGGAACTACAATTGTTCAAAATTAAAAGTTTAGGAATTAAATTTTACATTTAACCTAAGATTAAAGTATAGTATTAAAAAATTTGTCTAACTTAAAATATTAAAAAACTACTATTTTAAGACAAATTCTAAATAAAAAAAAGTCTATTATTCTTAGATAGAGGGTGTACAATGTTGTTATTTTACTCCTTTTTAACAAACTTTCTTTTATATATATATATATATATATATATGTATCAGATATTGCATTGGATCTACTTCATCATTTTCCAGAGTGTGCATTTAAACACCCTTCGAATTCCATTCCAATCGTTTTAATGCTTGCTCAAACTGTACCACTATTCTTAAGTCTAAATGGGCTTGGATTTTGGGGACAGTGGATATATAAATGTAAGTATTGCCTTCTCTTTTCTCTTTAATTTCAAAGATAAGTTCTCTTTTTATATTTAATTATTTAGCCAAAAGCAAATTTAATATTAGATTCTTCACAACTCTTATACCCTAAAAAATTGAGTTTTTTGGGTTTCGCCATCTTTCACTCTTTTTACCTATTTGTCCTCGTGAGTTGATTTAGAGTCTATTTCGAATTGCTTTCACAATACTTTTCGTGTCAGATTGTTTATCATTTCCAGGTTATATTAGAGTATGATGATTTTAAGTTTAGGATCACATGCATATCAATATATCATCATGATGAGAGTACCCAATAACCTGAAGTAATGGAGCCAGATATATTTTTTTGTGGGAATAAAATATTGACTAAGAAATAATGTATTTATGTGTACATTGAAAAGTCAATAATGAAGAAAATTTTAAATAAAAGATTATTATGAACAAAATTTATTACTTTTTAACGATAAATTAATAATGGTTGATGAAGTGATATGAGTGTCATCATTTGAAGGGCAAAATGAACAAATATAATAAGTAAAAGAAAACTACTTTAAAAAGTAAAACAAAAAGTTATAGTGAATATTTTGTGAAATAAAATATTGAATATATTTACATCTTTCATATTACCTAAAATTTCCTTAACTTTCTTCTTTTCACTTAAAATAATCTTCAATAATAGAAAATTACTAAAATGATAATATAACTATTTAAGATAAAATGCAATAAAATAAAATTTGGAGTCCGAACTTCAATTTCAAAAGCTTAAGGGAGGTCACCTTGGCTGCATCGATGACTTGAAAGTTAAAATACTAATTTAATGCCTGAGCGTTTAGATAGATCAAATTTTATGTTAAACTTTTAAATTGATCTTAAATTTTTAATTAAACTCTTTAATTTTTTTTGAAATAAATAAGTTTCTGAACTTGGTAATTGAGGTAATTTAATCATTTTTCTTTTTTTAAAAAATAGATTTAATACCTATTTGTACCTCACATGAATAAAATATTAATATGTTATTACTTACATGGTGAGTATTGACCTTATCCACATAAGTACGGTATAAATAGACATCAAGTTCATTATAAGAAAAAAAAAGTTAAATTGTCTAAATAATTAAATTTAGAAACTTATTTATTTCAATAAAAGTTGAGGGATTTAATTAAAAATATAAGATGAATTTAAGAGCTTAACGTTGAGCTTTGTCGTTCATATATGTATAAAAAATGTCCTTAACGTTCAATAAGAACTTAAATTTTCGA